TAAATGTATATCTGCTGCAATTTAATCTCATCTTATGTCAATATCTTTTTTAATGACAGACTCTTCGAGCCTTTTGAGTCGACCTTTTCTTAGCAAATATTTGAAGGGAGATTTAATTGCGAAGATATTTAACATCGGAGATTAAGCTCATCTCAACGAATTAAGTTTCAAGGGTGCACATAGATAACGGAATCTCTTTTCTTTGTCAATCTCAAGTCGAAATTGAATTTCTGCGTGTGCACTTCTTTCTCCCTTTCGGAGAACAGAGAGCGGAGAGTAATTATATTTATTATGCAGGCTGATTCTCTGAGCGTTTCAACAAACGATCTGCTCTCCGAAAGTTTCCTTAAATCGTCAGAGAAATTATTATAAATAACGAATAATTAATTTCGTCTTATTATTACCCTGTTCACGTCTTTTGTCCCAGTCATTTTCACGCGTCTAAAGGGTTAAATCTGAATCTAAATCTGTGAGTCATCCGATTGCGAGTGCGATTTGCGGTGCGGTCGCGACGATAGTAGTTCATTCATACGGATGGCAGGCAAGTGAAACTAGCGGAAGGATGCCAGACCGTTCCGTTTGACGATTGCGAGATGCAGCCGCGCGCACGTGGCGTTCCGACGAGATGCCGCCGATCGTCTCGCTTCGCCATACCTTATTTACACCAGCGTCCGCCGACGGAAATAGCGCGCCTTTATCTTCACGGGGAGAAGAATCTTTTTGAGAGAGAGAGAGACTCACTCCGAAAATGTTCTCGCCTCGGATGCGAACGGGTCCATCGGCAGCTGCGCGGGCAGGCGCACCGTGCGGAAAACTATCTTTCGTCGCGCGAGACGAGCGGAAACTTTTCAATCGAGTTTCTTGTTCGGGGCGGCGACGCCGCGTTTCCCCTCTCTCAATCTCACCGCCTTCGCGTAGCGGCCTCGTTACGAGCTTTTTATTTTCGTCCCTTCGTTCCTGAGGCTCGTCCAGCCGGAACGAATCGGCGGCACCGAAGAAATCTCGATCGCGGTGAAGCTCAACCGAGTCGAATAGACGCTCCTCACGCTTTTCCGAGCGCGGAATGCGCTTGCACAAATTGTTCCGTCTTTCACAAATTGTTCAAATTCGATCAAAATTCTATAACATCCAATATATAATTTAAGATATATGTTACCTAAAGTACAATACACGGCGAATTCTCTGACCATGCATTTATGAATTTCCGAGAGCGTGAATTATAAATAATTAATAAAAATAAAAAATTACTTTGCTTTAAAAACTTCATTTTAGCGAAAAAGATAATTCAGAATTTTACGTCATCGTTCGTTTCGGAGATGACAATGCAAATTTTCATTTCAAAATGGAATCGTAATTCAAGGCGGAAGATACGAAGATTGCGACCTCGGAATAATTCGTGAGATGTGACACGTTTTATCGAATTACTCACTGGGAGTAATCAAAACTGATTGTTCCTGAAATGGAATATAATGTCGGATAACTACGGTTAATTAATTATATTCTCCAAATAACTTTTTTTACGATATTTAAAACGCGGTAATTAAGTATTAGTATATCCAGTAATACAACTGTAGAAATTGGCAATCAAGCGTATATTCTGTGTCGCTTGATGAATAAATAAAACGGCGCGGAGAAATAGTATCATTTTGCGGACCCTGAACACTCTCAAATGCGACATTCAATGAATAAATATATCTAAAAAATAAGAAACGGAACAGAGTCGTCGTCATTAAGGAAATCTCGATTCTACGAATCCCAAGGGATACGAGATTGCTGTAAAGCGATTCGATTGAAGTGACAAATTAATCCTTCGGCGCTGATAAATTGCTATCAGCGCGCGTATGAAATTTCTTAAATAAAATAGCGCGGTGATAAAATCAGTTCTTCCAGAATTATCCGGATTACATTTCACAGAATGTAATCCGATATCCGGATGATAGAAAATTTGGCCGAATTCTTATCTCTCGTAGCGCGATGGACTATAGAGTTAATCGTGGCTGCATTTCGAGATCTAGTCGTCCCATTATCTCTCAACGGTGCGTGAATCAATCGGTTGCCAATCGGTTGAATAATTCGACCCGGTCCGTTTACTGGTCAGAGCGCGGCATTAAGCTGCGGCGCATTTAAACGGTTACACGAGTCGGCGAATCGGTTCTTCGATGAGGAACTGTAAATGATTAAGTGCAGCAGGACGCGCGTTCTTGATCGTTGCCCATTTGAATAGGCGCTTCCTATTGAGGAACGTAATCGCTTTTGAGCTGACCGAGCGTTGGTCGAGCGCTCTGATATACCTAAGCGTTTTCCATGGATCCGCCGGGAATAGAATGTTCCACCAAACACGACTGAAGTTGAGACTGTCTATATCAGGGATATATAACTTGGATTTATAAGGATCTTCACGAGAAGATATTAAAGAGATATGAAAGACGTCTCAAAGAGTTTACGTAAAACCGGCTATAATTCATTAATTGTATACTGGATGAAATATCTGTATTGTATTTAATTCTTTTCATAAAATTACGCCCCTAATGCAAGCTTAAGAAAATTCTATTTATTTTATTTTCAATTTTCCAAGGCATTTGTCGAAATCTTGTCGGAAATCTTGAGGGAGGAATTTAGATATTTTGCATACATATAAGTGAATCATCTTGCGTAAGAGAGAAGTTTGAGAGAACGGAACTTCTTGCTACAATAAAGTTACTTATTCGCTAAATTCGCTAAATCATGGTTGTCTGAGAAAATAGTTCTCTCTCTCTTTCTCTCATCGGATATCCTTACTGTTCCTACAAAATTTATGTTCCCTAAAAACTGATCCCGAACTCGACGAAGATTTGTGTACTTCGGTACTTGTTTTTCTGATCCCCAAGTCCGTTCGCGGATACCGAATTTAGTCCCTTTAAGACTCTAGTTTTGCCCTAGTGCACACAAAAGGTCCTTTGCGAATCTTGGAAGTTTCGAAACGTTAAAATTTTCCCCGTTGCCGCTTTTACCTGTCCCGGAATATCTCTGGACGACGGAAAGCGCCAGCTTACTTCAATATTAAGATAATGGCGATTTTGTGTTTCCTTTTGAAACGCTCGACTCGGCAGGATGGAATATACAAGTTGCAATTATCGGACGTATCTTCGATTCACCGCGCCGCTACGAAAATAGCCGATGTTCGTCGATAAGGAAGAGGTATCGCGACATCGGGTTCTCGATTCATGTGCGGACCGGGAGACGGTGCCAGAGGCTCAAGAGCCATCGACGTTGGCCTTCTCTATATCGTCGATTCGGAATGCCACCTGCGCGTGCCATAATACATTACTTAACGGCGAGTCACGTTTTTCCTGTTCACCCGCCTCACCCAGATGTGCAACGCAACGTACGTGTTCGACAAACGGGCGGCGCGCGACGGCGGCGGCGTGAGGAAGACTCGTAAAATTTCATACCGATGGCAGTAAAAGTTAACAGCTTGACGGAGTTGTTATTACATCAAGTCGCAGCTCGCATAGAATGTATTTCTACAATACATTTATACAATAAGCCGTGTTACATGTAACGCGATATGTGTTACGCCGACAGATGCATGTTGTGAAAAATGAGGATACAACCTGGCACGAGAAGATCTCGAGAGATGCGTTAAAATACAGTTAATGGAAAACACCTGCTTCCAAGGCAAATTTTTTCGAGTAGCCTAATACGGTCTAAGTGCATCTATACATATTTACAATTTTTTTCTGAATACACATAATGGCATTAATGACCGAACGATCGCATTAATAACACGCCCCATATTAACAGAGCACTCGACAGAATTCATCGCTTTCCGTCTATCTCGCAGTTACATCTTGCCGGTGGGGCGGCTAGTAAATTATTACTATGTAATTGATCGTGCGCGGTGCAATGCTCGCGCGCTGAATTTCCCGCGGTTGTTTATTTGCCGCACGCGCATTTGCACTCTCTCTCTCTCTCTCTACGCGACCGAAAATGCGGCGAGCTGGGTGATGCAACGACCGTTTTGCAGACTGCATTTCAGCCGGTGTGCGAGTAAACGCATGCGTCACGGGACCGCGGGTCTTGGGGAGTAAGTAATTTCGATGTTGCAGAGCCCAGCTGCAAAGGGATGGTAATGGGTTGGGGAAACAAGGGGAAAGAGGAAGAGACGAGAAGACGCGAGAGCGCGCAAAGTTCCAGAACTGCAACCTCTGTTACCTGTCCCGAAATATGTTACGGCATAATGTCGGGGAAACTACAGCGATCGCAATATCGCGTCCCTAGCCCGGGAGACGCACACAAAGTGCGTCTGTAACTTATTTCAACGCGAACTGCGTTGACTGCCGACTGTCGTGCATTCGTTATCATTCGTTTTAAATGCAAATCCGCAAATCTGCCGGCTGAAATCGCGCGCTGAGCATTGTGAGCTATTTGATACGAGGGGCGTCACAAGCGTGTCGTCCGCCGTGCAAAAGTGGAATTTTCAGCACTGACCTAGAAAAAAAAACGTAATTTTCATCTTCGTAAGCGCGGTTTTTTAAAGCGTGCGCGTAATGGAGCAAAAGTGCGATTGCATGTTTGTTTCATTCCATCGCGATGTAAAACGCGAAATATACTGCAGCCCGCCAAAAACGTCGACTTTCATTTTGTTCCCTTAATTTTCGAAATCATTGGATTGCGTTAATTTAATGCTGGTATTTTTTTCTGCCCTATATTTTCGTGTATACAAATTTGCGATAAGAAATGGTACTATTTTTCAGCAAAAGGTCTCTCTTGATTTCTGATATCTCGGAAATCATGGCATTATGTATATAACCTACAAACAGTCCCGTATATATTATCAATCTGTGCGATTTTTTTTTTTTTTACAAATACTGTGTTTCTCACCATTGACATAACTTAATCAATGCCGTCGCAGGACGTTTATCGTCGGCGATTATTTATGATGTATCGTACCCGTCCCAGTCAACGATAGCGAGTCAGATCGATTAACTCCGTTCCGTCTGTTTCCGCTTTTCTTACAGACCAGATGAGCGACGTCTGCAAGAAATACTTCCTGCGGGATCTCTACAGGAAGATAGACGGCGCCGTTCTTACCTCGCAAAATGAGAGGGAGCTCGATTGCGCCATTACTTTCCAGACTCACAGCATCCTCCAGCGGTTTATGCTCCGATTCGATCAGCTGCAGTTAGACTGCAACGACCATCTCTACATCTACGATGGCGCGCACGCGGTCGGCAGTTACAAGGTAAGTCGCCACTGTGATAACCACGCTTGTGTGTGTTTGTGTGTGTACTGAAGGATATTATCGAGAGCAGAGAGTGTGCTCGGCTCTATACGACCTTCGTGGCGAATTATCGCGATGGCCGCTTCGATAAGACATCTCACGTTTCCTTAATGATTTCGATCGCGAGGATAACGAACACGTATAAGGAGAAATAAATTCAGAAAAAATTAATGCGCAGAAAAGAGATGAAATTCTAAAGGGATTAAGATTGGCGTAGTTTCAGCGAATCGAGATTTCGATGTCGCGCAAAAATAGTCCCTGCGCATACCCATATTCGCAGCGATCGTGGAGATCGGAAAACTGACTTGCGACACATTTTCCCTGTGTCCGCCGCGCGATATCGCAAATTGAACGGGGGCGCGGAGATTATTTCGTTTTGAACCCTCCCCCCTCTCTCTCTCTCTCTCTCTGCTGCTGCCACATTATATTACATGGAGAGATTTAATTTACATTATTATATTATGATTATCGGAGGATACATTGCTGATTATTCAAAGGGTGCAAAACGCGCCGATACTGCAATTTGCGCAATAACCTCTCGCCCGCCGGCCGGGCTATATCGATGGTTAATGCGTGAATAAATATCCTCGGTCGCGGGGCTAAATTTTCGCGATGTTAATTCGCTTAACAAAGCGCGAAAAGTCAATTTGAGTAAAACGCGAGTAAACGAACGAGTCCCGGGCAGCTGCTGCTCCGCGACCGCGAGATCGCCTCGAGATCGGGCGGAATCGGGTCAAGGCGAGATCGAGATGATACGTCGCGATATCGCAAACAAAGTATATTCTTATGTAAAATAGACGAAAATCATTAATGCGCGCGGCCGTGACAGTCGTCCTGTCGAGATCCGGTTTTTCGATTAAGTCACCACCTCGAGGTTGTTTCACAACGCGAAATTGACGTGAGCCGGCCATTACGTACAGATCGAAATCTTTATTATTCTCTCAGTTAGCGAATACATGCTGTTTCTAGGAAAAAAAAACTAAGTAAATACAAGTATTGCAGAGTGTGTGCCACTTGAGTGTTAACAGAAACGAAAGTTAACTATGTAATTAATTCGCGCTGAAGCTTTCCCTAATGTAGATTTAATATGTTAATGAGCAAATTGTTTAACAATGGATATATTAAACGTTTAAACGACATACGTGCAAACGACGCAAGTACGCAGCACAAGGATATTATTTTTCAATTAATTCACGATGAATTTTACTGGCAAAGCAAGTTCTATGCAGGAGTTAATTATTAAGCTACTTAATGCTATATAGCACGAAAGTGTTTAAAGGATCAACTGGGAGCTATTAAAACGCGGCAATTTGCGCTGAAATTGCCGCGTGGCTCGTGTTTCAACTAGAAATTGCAGACGGTATTAAACGCGTTAATACACGGTGTCACACGAGTGTGGTCCCGCGGCCAATCAAGGTGAAAACAAAAATTCATGAATGGAACTATCACAAGTGGACCTGTTCAAAGATAATATCAACTTTTGTCTCTATCGCTACTTTTATCTCTATCTATTTGCCATGTATTATACGATATTTTTAGACGGTAATTATTTTCAGACATTTTCCCACCGGCGAGAAGCCTGTGTTTTACGTAATGTGCTCACTCTCGGCGAAACACGGGAAAAAAAATGTAGAGAGTGAAGGTTAACTACATGTGGAACCGCTTTTTATGTCTGTGAAAAATTTCTACCTTCCAGTAAACTAAATAAGCCAAATATGCAGAAAAAATTAATTTTATTGTGTGCTTTAAAAGAATAAAGCGGTTTTTTGAAGTACTGAGAACGTCGAGCTGTCAAAATAATAAATTTTGTGTTATTATTAAAGATGCTGAAGAAATGAATAATTATATATTTGTATTATCCGATTATATGATTATTTCTTAAGATTCGAATAGATATACTTTTATATGATTCGCAATTATACACTCAATGCACAAGACGAATTCTACCGCACTTCTTTTCTATTGGCAAGATACGAAGGGAGAACAATTTAAGAATTCCCATCCTCTCGGCCGTTTTCGATTAATTCGAAAACGGTGTAGCGCGAGACGGAGACATCAACGGTTGAGAAAAGCTCGGGCGGGTCGAACGGCTTTATTCAGCGAATCGGCCATTAACGAAAGATCGTGACTAATGTTGTACTCGCGTATACCGTTTACGGTTTGCCATGAGGATTTTTCTTGGGTTTCCCTAACGATCGGCGTGTGCAGCCGATGCACTTCTCGCGTGCATTCGACGCGGACCGACCTAATTGCCGTCATCGATCAAAGACGCCGCGCTAATTGCGAGAAGAACGATGTTATTTTCTACGTTCAGAATGACGCTGTTACGGGGAGAGAGTGTGTGAGAAAGAGAGAGGAGAGAGAAAGAGGAAGAGAGAGAAAGATCCTTCTCTTGGGTTCGCCTGTGAGGTTGAATTTTAATGTATTCCTATTATGCATTCCGAACATGGCCGGCGCGGGACACGGTAACGCAAACTTGCGCCATTAATCAAGATTCGTTTCTTGAGAGGAGAACGCGAACGGATTCAGTTCCTCCATTGTCTCGAGTTTTCTTTGATTTTTCGCAATCAAACCGAGATATACTTTCGAAGTGTGTTCATTAAATCACATACCTTTCATATAATATATTGTCCTTTTTTAGATAATAAAATACTTTGAAAAAAATGATGCTTTGTTCTATATCCAACGTGCCTTAAATCGCGAATAATAATTTCTTTCCGCGTCGACAGAAAAAAGAAATCGATTAAACGAAATGCCGATTATTGCAGCTTTTCACGCGCACTTTCACGACTCGAGTGGAATGTCGCGACGGTATATTTCCCCGAGCCGACCAACATTCCCTGAAAAATGAATTCATTTTTTACAGCTCACCTCCCTGTGCATCCCGTGGATGCGTATCCGAGCACGAGCTTGTTTATTTATTAAGCGCACTCAATTACGCTTCCACACCAGCCGTAAACAACGCCCTCATTCGCAGCCCGGCTGTAATACAGGGTGACTAAAATCACATGCAATTTGATCTCTATAAAAACTGCTTAAATAACATAACAAAGCATATACAGAAATTTACTTGATTATGCGCGATAAAAATAATTTTTATAAGAAATATTTTTAAACTGCTACTCACATTATTGATTCAAAAGTATCTGAAATTTTTACTCTTAATTGATTCAAGCATAATTGATTTATTACATGGATATCAAATTTTAAAATTGACATACGTTACTTTTAGACGATATATATATATATATATATTATCGTCAAATATGTAGAAATATTATCTAGGAATAAAAATACTTTGCTGTATTAAATTTGTCATTCATCATGTAATTTGGAGATCTGACATATATACTCGTATATTTATAGAAACCACATTAGGTAAGAAATAAATGATATACTACATAAATATTGATTGTATCTTAGCAGGGTGGTTTTTAGCCACCCTGTGTGTGTGTGCATTCGCCGCCGCGATATTCACGGTTTTCGAAGCGCAGAGAAGTACGGATCTCCGGCATAATTTACGAGGCACAATTTGCGAAAAACAAACGACACGGCAGCCGTGTTATAGTCAGCGGAATATCGTCCTAATTTAAATTACCTTCGGGTATACTTTTCGTCGTGTTATTACGCGGCGATACGCAAACGCGAACGCAACGCGAAGTTCCCTACGTTATATCTTCGTATATACGCACGTCGCTGCTACACGCGATGTGCATAGATACGCACGTGACAGAGGGCAGAAAGTCTGAGAGCAATACAATTTTACATAATGGTACTTTAATCTTTTTTATGACTTTCCTAATGGGCCATTAAGTATGCTTTTTTATTACGTTGCCCTCTCCTCTCATTTTCAAATATGCCGTCTTTGCTCTTTACGTCGAAAGGAGAGCGGAAAGACTTCTCTCGCCCCTTTGATGTATCTCTCTCTTTGTGAGACGCATCTCTTTTATCCCGAGGTACTGTTTTCTTCGGGCAAAGTGCTGTATTTTGGAAAATAAAATACACAGTATGTATATCGCCGTTCATAGGATACGTAATGCATTATTCATTCCTCAGACTGAAACTTTTAGCGGAAGTCATAAATGTAGCAAGTTGAATACGAATAAGAGTGTGAATGAAGAGTGAACTTCAAAAGTACCGAGCTAAGTTTGTTATTTTCTGTCGCACTATAGAAAAAAAACTTGTTAGTTTTAATTTCAGAATTTCTATTCTTGTGTGGATATATGGTAATTTTTCTTTCAATCCTGACAGAGCGGGATGGAAATTTTTCGCACCGAAAAAAAAAAAGATATTTTTAAAGATACGTGCGTTTCAATTGGGTAGATCCTACCAATTAATCCCAATGCCTTGAATATTCAATCTTTGCGTTCTGTGCTCGTGTTCCTCTGTTCTATGAGTAATAGTACGTTCTGCACATACGTGAAATGAACACGCAGAAAGAAGCGACGAAAGCCCTCGTCGCGTGAGAAATGCCTGGAGTTTTAATTTTCAAATTGCGTTGTTCCAATGCGACCGTTGTTAAGAGGACGACATTTTTAACAGGATCCGCTTATATTCTTTCCCTTGTATTCCCATCCTGCTGGATTAATTTGCGCCCTGGGACCCGGAAGCAGGCGGTAAAGTTCTAATTTCGTAACTTGTAATTAACTTGGCCCGCGAAGAGCTAACTTCGTTCGCGAAAAAAAGAGATGTGGTAGCTACGGAGTTGGCGGAAAAATCTGTTCTTTAATTGCTAATTCAAATAACGTAATTAACCCCTTATCGACGGATGAGAGTGGCACTTATTGTAGATTTTTCGCTTCTATCCTCAAGATAAGAGTCAAGAGTTTATGCGAGTTTATACATATAATTGGAGAAAAAAAATAAAAGATTGGATGCTTCTCGAGAGAATTTCGCAAAAAATCTGCGAAGTGCAATAATTGCAAAGCGAGCTGTTTCGTAACTCACTTTGCAATTAATAA